GCATTTGGATGTCAATTCAAACTCGAAAACCTTTTACATATAATACTTTTTCCCACCATAAACTTTTACAAGATTATTGGCATGAGAGGTTCTCTTTTGTCCAATAATACAGCTCGAACGATTTAATTGGATGAAATAAATCGGCACATCACTGAACATTCGGCCCATCACTGGTCGATCACGTTATTGTTAAATTTAGTATACTACTAGTAGTATGTACCAGACGAACCTACTACGTACTACTACCACGACATGGGCATACATATGTATTAAACGATGTGTACTTTGTTACTAGTTGCGATGGGGGAGGTCGGATCGCCGACCGACTGCTGCTTGTGCTGGTGGTCGTGGGTCATGTTCACCGTGCATGTCGTCCGCCGCACGAAGTCGTTCCATGACCCAAACGCGTCGCCACCGCTTGGGAACTCGCAGTTGACGCCCACAACGTTGGCTCCAGTGTAGCAGAGTGCCGCCTCCATGGGGGATTGCGTAAACAACACAAGTCTTTGTTCCAGAACTTGCTCGAGGCTTTGAAACTTGGAAACGAACGTGATAGGCAAGTGAGTGTCCACCTACAGTCACAATCAGCTAGATGTCTTCATCATGACCTTTCTTCATGTACTTGTACGTAAGGCAGGATATCGTCGACCAAGACGGCCGCGGGGGCGACAAAGTTGCCCGATCGGTCCATGGTATGATTATTGCCTCCACAGAGAATCTACCATTTTCGAATTCATCGTTATTGAATTGTTTGTGGTTGAGGGTTCGTCTGGTAACCGGAAATATTGCAATATTCAGGCCCAAAGCGCCATTTTAGGGCCGAATTCAACAAATCTGATCAAAATTGAAACATGTCTTGCTTGCAAAGGTTTAACCCAAATCCAATAATTCCACGTGGGATTTACTCGTTGAAGAGGTCCAAAACGCCACATTACTACAAAATGGACCTTTTACCTCCATTTTGAAAATGACATTTTGGTTAATCCCATTTTGCGAGAAAAAGGAATATTATTTTTGAAATGTTACCAGACGTACCCTGAATCATTCATTTATAATACATATTCGATTTTTTTATAATATATATACCTGACCGTACGACATGGCGGCATTCACGGCATTCGAAAACGACTGCACCGCCTAACCACACTATCAAGTCCACAACCTATCTCCATATACCGTTGTACATAGGTCTTACCTGGAGATTGCGCAACGGGCCGCATGTCGTTGCGGCAAGGAAGGGATCGCCGACGACAACCAAGTCCTGATACCTCGACGTGAGAAGGCGGCAAAAGCGATCGCTTATGTCGACATGCACGTACACGTGCCTCAGAACGCGGCGACCTGTCGTTCGTTCGTTCACAGGTCGTTGGTTCGTTCTAATATATAAATATATATATACCCATGGCCAGCAGTACCATCCGAAGCGCGACGTCGACGTTGGCATCGGCGAGCACGACCATCGCATTGTGAGCGTCGAGCTCCAGTATGGATGTGCCGAGGCGGCCCGCCACCGCCACGCCCACTGGATGGCCTGATAGTCCACTCACCAGTGAGACGATTGTATTGTCATATATTCAAAATTGGAGTATCGGGGTGTTCAATCGAATGAGCAGCATAACCAAATACATCGGCAGACGACAATCGATAAATATCGATATCCAATGAAAACCCAAATCAAAAACCAAGTAGCCAATCAAATCAACTCTTCGACCAATTCAACATCGAATTAGTGTGTGACAGAAATTAGTGTAAAACTGGACCATTTTCACATACAAAAGTGTCAGTACAAAGAATCAATCGAGATAGATTTGGCAAAGAATCAAAAGTCAGCCAAATTGAAGGTAAAAGAAAGTCCATATCTCGAGACTGGAATAACTAGTATGTACCATGCTCCACAGATCCTTGGTAGCACACGACGGCCATCCGCTTGTCTCGCGCTAGACACGCCCCCACGTCGGCGCCACTACAAATAAACAAACGAATGAACGATGTGTTCAACAGTGGCGGCAGTCGGAATCGAGTGTTGTACTATGTACCTGCCACAAATCAACGAAGCGCAGGCAGGGGGGTACCCGTGACTTCGTAGCACGGACGCAATCAGCCGCGTGATGGCGATCGCAATAAGGCTAAGCGACGGCTTCCACAGCACGGCGTTGCCGCATGCCAGCGCCATGGCGCCCGTCCACGTCGGGGAGTGAGCGGGCGTGAGAAGACCCACGTGCCCCCCCAACGGACCGAAGCGTTCCAGTTGCACAATCTGCATGGTGTTGAGTGGGCGGGATTCGGCGCAGTCATGGACGGCGGCGATTGTCGAGGCTATTGGAATCAATCTTGGTGAGATTGAAGACGAGTAGAACATCTTTCAACCTGTAACGGAGTGGACGATCACCGCCGCCGCCGCGTCGTCGCACCGCCGGATCATGTTGGCCACCAGCGTCATCGCGTCACGTTGGACGATACCCGACTCCAACGCCAGCACATTAGCCAGGCGTTGGTGGTGGGATCGAAACACGTCGCCGATGTGGCGCACCACTCGACTGCGATGCGCCGCGGTCGCTTGTCGCCAGGATGGCGCTGCCTTGTCCATGGACTGGACCACGTGCATGTACTCTTTGGCAGTGCCTGATCGAACGGACGCGATGGCTTGGTTGGTGGACGGGTTTATCACTGTGATCATGGGGCCGTGGCCGAACCAGGTGCCGCCGCCAAACACTCCTGGGTTGATGTCCTGGAGCCCCAACTCGCTCAACATTGCAGCATGCTGCTGTTGTTGCATCGTGTCGGGTCTGCCGGGGGGTTCAAGTGGACGGGGCGCAGGGTACGAGGGGTGGGGGAGAGGTGGAGATGGTGGCGGGAACGGACCAAGAGCCGCGACATCGACCGCGGAGGCAGCTTCACGGGAAGGACTCACCACCTCTCGAGTCATCCCGACCACCGCTACAAGGGGACGACGACATCATTACGAGACGGCGGCATCACAAAGTGCGGATGAGGGTAGAGTAAGCACTCGTACGGGAAATGGGCTCTCGGGATGCGTTGGGCTGCGGACTCGTCATGGTGACATTGGTGGACGGTGCCAACGCGACAAGGACGTGGTCGACGCTAGTGTCGTCGTCAAGCTTGCGGTGCTTGACGGTGTATTTGGCTTTTGCCGACGCATCCACTTCGGTGCAGCGTTCCACCAGATGTGTCGTCATGCGAGTCGTGTCGCCCTTGACTTCCTTTTCGCACCACACGCACATGCAGTACCGTCGTTTCCGCAGCTCGTCGGTGGTCGTAAACTCGTCCCAAATCGGGTCCTTTGGCCGACCACCCTTGGACTTGCCACCTCCATGGCGCCCTCCTACGTCCGCGGACCCATAGACACATGGATCCTTTCCTTCCTCGTCCATGTCGCTTGTGATGCCCACCGCGCTGTCTGTTTTTCTCGGACGAGACCTGTACGCTTCGCGCAAGGCCTCTTCAACGCGAGGGCACCTGTCCACGATGTGATTGTACATGCGAGCTGCATCGGCTTTGACTTCAACGCCGCACCACTTGCAGCGGCAGTACCGCTTTGCCGCTAGCGCAGCATCGTCGTCAAATTCATCCCAAATTTTCGTCCGCGGTCGCCCTGATTTCGACATCCTCTTGTGGTTTGGCCCACGGCTATTTGCCCCATATATCCGGATACCTGAATGTACGGATAAAGATTGTAACGTTTCGAAAAGAACTTTGGAATCAAAGAAGTCATGTGAGGAATCGTGTTTGAATTGCGGGATGGCGAATGTGCTATCTCTTATGCGCATGTTCCTACTCTTCGGAATGCTTCCGCTTGTGGTTTCCCCCGTTTTCCGAGATGTGGTGCACGTCAGTATCGAATTGACGGTCGCCAGCGTCGCCAAGACCTGGGACAATCACGCCGGATTCCGACAACGTGTCGTCAATGGCGGCCACAATCACTTCCACGTCCGGGTGCTTGGCGAACAGGTCCTTGAGTCCATCCTTGGACGCAATGGTGCTGATAATCTTGATCTGGGACACCCCCCAGACTTTGAGGATGGCGACCGTCGCGATGATCGTCCCCGCTATTCCGTGGCAACAGTCATACGATCATGGAGGGTTCTGACCGATCGAAACGTACCAGTGTTGATCAAAGGCTCCAACACAATGGCGCAGTCAATGTGGCACTCTTTGGGCAACTTGTTGTAGTATTGCACTGGAAGCAACGAATTGCTGTTGCGGTACATGCCTACGGCAGCGTCACCGTTAGCGTCGGGATACTACAATGCTCAACATCGGTACCGATGTGATGCACGCGGGCATTTGGGAGCAAATCAAGCATGGGTTCAACCATGCCCAACCCAGCGCGAAGGATGGGAACCAATGCAACCGTCGTTGCAAGTTCCGACCCTTGGTGTGGTCCCAACGGAGTCTATGCCGCCGTTAGTGATGGAACGGGTATGTCGTGATCGCACACCCACCTTGATTTGCTTGGGTACCGTCGAGAGGTCGCTGGTTGCTTCATACCTAAGACAAGAAACGGAGGTCGCATCGTGGTGCTTGGGATGCCGTACCCAAGGTAGAACGTGATTTCACGAAGCAAGTGTCGGAAGAGGTTGGCATCCGTCTTGGCATCGCGCAGCTTTGTCAACTTATGCGCCAGAACGGGGTGCGTGGATAGAATGACCTTGGAATTCTCAGGAAGACCAAGGGACTTCACGTGGAGGTGCGTCGTGTGCGGCATGACTCTGGGTGGTTGATGCGAGGAAGCTATTTCTTGAAATGGGTTAGAAAATCTTTGGGGGGATTTAAACTTCGAGGATTTTACTTCGAATACCTCCCTATGAAAGAAGCTTGGTCAATATCAAGGAAATTGTAACGCTATGCACGTTGAAGTACAACAGAGTCGAAGTTCGAAGTTGATGCCACGTGATTTCAAAAACAATCTCACACATCCTAGTGTCAATGGCTACTACGTAGTATAACTGTACTTGGCCTTTGAGATGTGACTGTGTTCGCAGGTCGAGATGGACATATTTCACAGTAGATACCATAGCCAAAGGGTCGTGGCGTTGCCATTGAGATTGTGCATCGCACGCACTTTTACGAATCACCATTGTATGTAGCCCATCTATGACTGACTGCCCCCATAGTTTCGAGCGACGACGTAACGTTACACCCAAGGCAAGTCTCCCAACGTAAGCGACGAGTAAACGACACCATGGGGTCTTGTTGCGGCTGTGTCAGGAACATGATTCACATTCTGCCATCGCTGAGGGTGTGATACTCGAGAGCCGCGGAAGACGTCTTAGCGGTTCAAAGTCCCATATACTACCGTATCACGATGCGTAACTACCGGTAGGTATGAAATCAAACTTGAGTTCTCATTGTACACGAACTCCTACATTGATGGTAGTACCTTTTGAGCTGACTCGCCTTGCCAAGTCCTCTACCGTTACAAGATCAACCACATTTGGTACTTTGCTGGTCAATTTGCACCAATCAACGTACAGTACGTTTAACCGTTTGCCCACCGCAACAAAGAGTCTTAACGGTCGCATCTCACTGTGCCTTTGCTCTAGTTGGCGGTGACTGCTTGCTTCTCCACGGTCCCTACATATACTGCTCTTGCTCGTCGCAAAAAAGAACCCTGACGAGTCTGCGTATCTTTTCCCGTGTGTGGCGCCATAAACACGCGCGGCACAAAATAACTTCCCCAAATTTCCTCACTTTTGAAATCCCTCGATCTTCCCGAAACACAACCAACATGGCCGACGTGACGTTCCCCACGACTGCCGACATCGTCATCATTGGCGGCGGCCTGGCGGGTATGCACATCTACACACATCCATGATTCATCGCCTTCTGTGCATGTTGTCATATCGTCGTGTAGGCATGGCCGCGGCCTTGGAAGCGCTTGAAGCCAATGCTTCGTTGCGCATTGTCCTACTTGAAAAGGAGCCCAAAGTGGGCGGCAACTCGGCCAAGGCGTCGTCCGGCATCAACGCGGCGCAGTCCAAGGACGACCTCGACGCGTACTTGCAAGACACGTTGAAGTCGGGCGGCGGGTTCACCAACCCTGTTCTGGCGCAGACGTTGGTCGATCAAGTATGTTGTCCACCCTGCGACACCATCAGCCCCATAGTACTCATGCGATAACCCATGTATCGCTAGAGCTTGGACGGCATCCGGTTCCTTGAAAGCAAAGGCGTGGACCTGTCGGTGCAATGCCAACTGGGCGGCCACTCGACGGAGCGCACACGGCGCAACAAGACCGGGCCGAACGTCGGGTTCGCCATCACGTCAGCGCTCAAGAAGGCGATCGACGACGCCAGCAGTCAGATTCAGATCGTCACCGGCGCCAAAGTGACCAAGTTGGTCGCGTCCGACAACGCCGTGTCGGGGGTCGAGTACCACGTGGACAACCGCGACTTCACCGTATCCACCCCCGCAGTCATCTTAGCCACGGGTACATGACCATCCCCCATGCATCTCCATCGCGACGACTCCGTTGGTAACCTCGAGATATATAAACAGGTGGGTACTCGGCCAACACGGCGCTGCTCAAGACACTGGCGCCTGGCATGGAGGCATTTGCGACGACGAATGGGCCGTGGGCGACGGGCGACGGACTGGAGCTGGCCACGGGCGTCGGCGCGGCGCTGGTCGACACGGACAAAGTGCAGCTGCACCCCACGGGGTTCATCGACCCGAAAGACCGCCACAAGTCGTACGTCCGCTTGAACCTCTCCAAAGTGTCTTGTTGACATGTGTTTGGTAGGACTCGGTTCTTGGCCCCCGAAGCCCTCCGCGGCGCCGGCGGCATCTTGCTCAACGTCCACGGCCATCGGTTCGTGAACGAGCTGGCGACGCGCAAGGAAGTGTCGAACGCGATGCTGGCGCAGCCAGAGAAGCGGTCGTTCTTGGTCTTGCTGCAGACGGACCAAGTGCAGGCGGCGTGCCAGGCGCTGGGTCTGGGCTTTTACGAGAAGATTGGCCTGGTCAAGGTCGTTCCGACGTTGGAAACGTTGGCCCAAGTCGTGGGGGTGCCCCAGTCGGTCTTGGACGCCGAGTTCGACTCGTACTTGAAGGCGGCGCGGGGACAAGCCGCGGACACGTTTGGCCGGACGGCGTTTGCTAACGTCACGGAGTTGCGCCCGATGTTTGTGTTGGAAGTGGAGCCCGTGGTGCATTATTGCATGGGTGGGTTGAAAGATACGAAGAGTGTGTAGAGATACGATGTGGACTTGTTGTAGGGGGCGTGCAGATCAACGAACATGCCGAAGTCGTGCTGGGCAACCACACGACGCCCGTGAAGGGGCTGTATGCTGCGGGCGAAGTGTCGGGCGGACTCCACGGCGGCAACCGCTTGGGCGGCAATTCGCTCACCGAATGCGTAGTCTTTGGACGGCTGGCGGGCCAGCGGGCGGCGGCGCTCGTCGCTGTAAAACAATAATTAATATCCTAAGAAGTTTTGTCAAGTTCATGGCCGTAGCGTAGCGAAGTCCCCGCTCTGGTTAGCGCCAACATGGGCAATACAAGTGCTAGTAGTAGTACTGTAGGATGTCATTTTACATGCTTGCATTGACAGTTACAGTACCCGGGTTTGAGATTGCACACGTCTGAAATGTCCTCATTGCACATCTACAGTGGTCGTGGTGCGCATGTATGTGCGGTGACAGATTACATAGAACAGGAGGTTGAAGCGTCGCTGGGACTGTGCAAAGAAAGACCAGCGCCGGCCACCGTTCAATCACGTGCCAACTGCCATCGATCGTTGACGCACGTAGTGACCGCGACTGCAATTTGACGTATTCTCATCTAGAGATTGCCCAAGGGCGAATTCCCACGCGTCCTTCTTACGCTGTCGGACACGCATCGAGTCTTCTCAAGTTTGCAGGGGGTGGCTCGTAGGGGTGCTTGCTTTGGTCCCCCTGCAGCTCCTCGATGTCTGGTCCGACGGTTTCAAAAGTGTTCAATTGCCATCCATAAACTACAGTAGGAGGCAACCAATCGTTGAATGCTACAGCGACCACAGAGCGACACTCGTGCGACTGACGAGGGATGTGGGAAGTGCTATCGACGAGGAAACGTCAGCTTCAGCCAAGCATGACGCTAACCACACGACCACACTCTGGTGCATCGTCACACATTGTGATCAACACCAGCACACGTTTGATGTGTCTGTATGCTTGCTGCATATCTCAGTTTTTTGCCTCAACTGTCATGTTCCAAAACACAGATACTAGCGAATCCGTGGGTGATTATTGGACGATAGTTTGTTTACCCACAACAACTCCGTTATGCACTTTGCATCACACTCATACCATGACGACTGTAACATTACCGCACATTCTTCACTCTCACAAGACATTCGCGTCGCTTCATGCTGACGTGTGACGACGGAATGTCATGATCAAGATGGACGGATTGTTGCAAGTACAGACCAGACTGCAACCACTCCAGATCAGCTAAGTACACTTCAATCGTGTTGTCGAACAATAATGTTGTGAGGTGTACTACTCCTGGCACTGAGTAGGTAACAGTGTATGTATCGCCATCGCCGACTCGAGCTTTGCCCCTACTCCTGTCGTTCCTCGTGCCAGCCCCGACGCCCCCCAAAAGCTGCTTCATGTTCCCCAAACGTGGCCACATGCATGTCGTGGCGCCGTCTTGGCCGGCATAACGCGCGCTTCGTCCCATACATGTCTTCTATCCACCAACCTGGTGCTGCTTCTCCTCACGCCCTTTCATGGCGCCAGGGATCTTATTTGTTTTTTCTCGGACTTGGAAAATGTCTCCAAAATACATACAAACGTCGAATGTAAACATTTCGAATTTAAAATAATAGTGGGTGTTCTGGAAATTTCGTTGATCCAGGTATAAATAATTCTGTGTTGGCCAACGCCGCCTGTGATTGGCTGGCAAGGGATCCTTGCCAAGATCTTCGAAAATATCCCAGCACATCTTGAAGTGAGTATACAAAAGCAACGCAAGAAACCAACGCTCGGTCGGCCCAAGCGCTACCACGCCACTTCCCAATATCTCTCCCATCATGAACCCCCAAAGCAAGTATGGAGGCCTCTCCATGCGCAACATTATGATCCGGAAGAAGCTTGCCGAGCGCAAGCGCTTCGACTCTGCCGACTACGCCATGCAGCAACAGATCCCTTCAACCAACGACGCCGTCGACAGTGGCCGACCGTTGAACCTGCACATTTCTACCGACCCCGCTGTCCTCCACCGCGTGGCAAGTTCACATGTAGATCATGTGCAATCCCCCGTTGTTCAGATCGGTATGGCGGCATTCTTTGACAGTATGAGCGATGACACGTGCATGGCCACAGCCCCGAACTCGCCATTGGTAGAAGCGATGACTTTGTCTCCCGCGAATCGTCAAATCAGCGCCTCGTCATCCGAAACCGCTGTCGCCAATTCACAGCAGCAGAACGCCAAGTATGGGGCGCTGTCTGCACGAAACATCATCTTGCGACGGAAACTGGCCCATACCACCACACATTTCGATTCGGCCGACTACCAGCTGCAGAAATACGGCCACGGAAATGGCATAGAAGGGACTGCGGTGAATTATTCCGTGTCAGCACCCGTGAACGACGACATTGAGTTTGCAGGTGCCGTTGGAGCCACCGTCGACGCCCAAGTCGCCGTGCCCGCACAATTACTGGTCGCGCCGACAAATTATGGAAAATTGTGCGCGCAAAACATTCTAATTCGAAAGAAGCTGAAGGAACGCAAGCGATTCGACTCGGCAGATTATTCTATGGAACACAGCAATCCGTCGACGACGTCTGCGTCCGCCGCCGCCGCCGCAGCGCAAGCGGCCCGGTCGATCACGTCCGACCAACATCAACCAAAGCTGCTTAAGATCTCTGTCGACTCGCCCAAAGCCGCCAAGGACGGAAGCAGCAGTCGGGACCTGTTTTCCCCCACGAGTCGCGTGGCGGCGCGGAATGTGTTTCTCCAACGCAGGTTACAAGAGCGGAAGCGGTTCGATTCGGCCGATTACTTTCAAGAAAAGCAGCAGCAGCAACAACACCCTTAACTTAAAACGTCCATCGTTCGTTCGTTATCGTTTCAATCCAAAGTTATGTTTCTGGAGGGTGGCACGATTGATCGATGCTGACGCTCTTGGGAAAGGGACGGACGTGGCCATGCAACGGCAAAATGCCCTTTTGATCTTTTTGGCTCTTTCTTTGCTCTTGACGCGCCACGTCATGGTTGATAAACAACAGCAGCACCTGCGTTCGAAACGATAGCAACACACGAATGGTTGAGTATGGTATGGCTCACACTTAACGTTTCACATTCATTGCTGAGCCGAATGGTCCGACTTGCTCGTAGGCCTACTAGAAGTATCATGCAGTCGCAGTACGACTTGTACAGTGTACAGTGGCGGCATGACGTAAAGTTCAACACAATCCACCCATTGTAGCTTTGGCTTCAGTGGGGTACTGTAGCTCAATCGATGGTCACCATTTCCAGCGAGTTCCCAGGCACAAGCGCTCAAATGTGACTCAGAGCTTGTTTGGTCCCAACACTTGATCATGGTTCATCTTCATGACGGACGCCCTGCTCGAACGCAGAATATCCGCAAAACAAGACGTCATGCTATTTAAATTGACCAATGAGAGGCAATTGTGGACAATTTTATCCAATGGTATGTTTGCTTGCAACGACCCCTTTTTCGCAATTTCGCATCATGCCACCAACCCTTCAACGGTCCGCGCATGCGGTCAAGTCCACACTGCCGTGGCTGTACATGGTGACACCGAGCATTGCATCCACAGACGTACTTGTGGATACGGTGGAAAAGGCTCTCCGTGGAGGAGTGAACATCGTCCAGCTTCGCAACAAGATCTTTGGCGCAGACTCGCCCGAGCTCAAGGCCATGGCGGTAGCGTTGCGTGAGTTGACGCGGTCACACAATGTTCCGTTGATCATCAACGACCACGTTGCACTTGCGTTGGATGTCGGTGCCGACGGTGCGCACATTGGGCAAGAAGACACGGCCGTGGAAGCCGCGCAGGCACTCATCGGGACCACGCCGTCGTTTCTGTTGGGAGTCACCGTGCGCGACGCGATCCAGGCGCAAGCCGCGTGCAAAGGTGCATGCATGTTTCATTCGTGTGGTTCTAATACTTTATGTGTTTCTGTAGCGGGGGCTGACTACTTGGGAGTCGGGCCAGTGTATGCCTCAAGTACCAAGCAGAACGCGAACAATGGCCTCGTTATTGGCCTCGACGGGCTCGCATCCACCGTCGCCATGGCGAGCCAGTTCCATGTTCCGGTGGTCGCTATAGGGGGTATCCATGTAGACCGTGTGGAAGCCTGCATGTCGACCAAGGCGGCCGGGGTGGCGGTCGTGGCGGCACTCAGCAGTTCGTCCGACGTGCAGGGTGCCGCGGCGGCGCTGGCCGACAAAGTTCGTCGCCACCACACACGTTGAAGTATATCGACAGAAAAGAAATAAAACCGTAGAACACGATACAAATCAATAGAAAACACACGATCTGTTTTTTTCGAAAAAGTGTTAAGTCGACGTTTGCTTTATGGTGGGACACGGATCAAAGTCACAGCCAATGTCGACGCGGCGCCGTTGGAACTTCCTGGTGGCGGCGCAGTACCTGGCTTCGGTGGAGCATGCCACGACTGGAGGGCACGGAGTAAAGTTGCAGTTCAAGGCGGCGCTGCGGCGGACTACTGTCAGGGTCTGCGGGCATGTGAACGTGTCGGTCGCACACATCTACTTAGCCATATCAAGAAACAACACTTCCCCTCATAGAAGCATACCACGGGACAAGGATCAAAGGTGCAATTCAGCAGTGGATTCGCACGCTTGAGGTCGCCCGACGGGCACGTGATGGTCTCGTTAACACAAAACTACAAGCGATGAAAAAGGCGCAGAGGATGTCAAATGGTACCGGTGGACACGGGCGGAACGTGCAGTTGGTAGCGTAATCTCGCAGCACAATGTCGCCGGAAGGACACACTTGGAAGAACGGGTCGTCCGTGCAAGTGGTGTTCTGTGTCAAGGTATCAAGCGCCTATGAGCATGGTTCCACGAGGACGAATGACACGTACCGGCGCTGGCACGATGGCGTCGTTGGATGTGATGTTGCAGGGAAAGTGCTCGCAATTGCGGAGCGGGTCGCGGCCGACACCGCGACCGTTCGGACAGATGTACCAGTCCTCGACGCATGCTTGGCACATGGACGTCGTCCATGAGAGCGCGAGCATACCCACGAGGATGGCTCGCATGCTGCTGCGAAGACTATCGTTACGGAAGTTGAAGCCCATGATTGAAGAATATCACCACGTGGGGTCCATTTGACGGTTTCAAGAACAAGTTATTTTTAGGTGCCCAATCAAGTGACTTTCCAATATCGAAATTTGGGGATAGCATTGCATCGGCATGATGGAGAGATTCGCAGAGTGCGTCTCGCGATGAGATGACGATCGCGTGCGTCGTTCAGTTGTTGGTGTGTTAAATAGGAGGTGGGACAACAACTACTACTGGAACGCCGTGAGCAATTGCTGCAGCAACTCGCGCGTGGTGCCGTGGCGATGCGGGAGTTGCTCCGTGAGGATGCCTGCAAACTCCCGTCGCACGACGGAGTCCTTTGGTGGAAGCGAGATGAGCAACCGGAGGAGGAGGTTGGCACAGTCGTGTTCGTGGGGATTCCACGCCGCCTCGACCACCCACTGCAGCAACATGTGCACGCCTTTCGACTGGTAATGCTCCGACAGTTTGCGCACGTCCCCTTCGGACATGCGCTTCGAGTTGAGTGTGCGGTCGATCACATAGCACGTGCGGATTTTGTCGCCCGTCTAAGTGGATGTGAGGTACTTGACAACGACGACAAGTCAAACCGTGAGTTTGAGTTCCGATGCTGCCCGCGCAGAAATAGTGTCAAGGACGCGGTAGAACTGGTCCACGGTGCAACTCCCGTCGTCGCCAACATGTTCGTCGCATAGGTCGACGATGAAATCCGAGATTGTCATGTTGTCCGAGGTAGTGTTCGGGTTGATGGTTTCCTCGAAGCTCTCCTTGTTCACTGACCGGCATTCCTGTGGTGGGGTGAAGTGTTTAGACGTTGATGCGAGAGATGTCACGATGGGACGTACTCGTTGCGTGAAAGGATGGGTGCCAAAGACATCAATGTGTGCTTCCACAAGCTGGTGATGCTGGGCCAGGAGCTCGTGGAACATACGGTGATGCCACGTCATGACCTCCTCGAGCAACTCTTTTCGTTGGACCTCCATGGAAACTCTTCTTGCGCGCGGTGATTGCGACGGTCACCCGAAAATGAAATCGAAGGACAACAGGAAACTCAAAATCGTACTTTATTGAAGGGTCCAGTACTTTATCGAATTTCATTTGGGTTTTATAAAATGATATCCAAAACCGTTTAAAACTGATATTTATTTACATAGTACGAGTGTTAGAACTCGTCATGGTTTGTTTGCTCTTGGCCTGCATACCAATTCGTCAGGTACGACGACTTTGAAAGTCGATTTCGTTACCGTGGAAGTCCAAGAACGAGCCGTCGCCTAGCGGGTATATCCACAAGTCTCGTTCGTGCGCGGCATCGCTGAGCTCCAGAATCGGCTGCCACAGTCGCCACGCCGCCAAGATGTCGTCCAAGTGCATAAAGTGGCTATAATAAATAAATCCACATCACGAAACTCGACCATTTCCCCCTCAATATATATATATATATATATATATATATATATATTCGTAGATGGCTGTGCTCTTACGTTGCATCTCCTTGGACGAGTTTTCCGAGCAGAAACGTATATGCACCCAGCACTTCCATCGACTTGTGCGGCGCCAACTGCTGTCGTGATGTGGTATTGTTGTCTGCTACCCACCCGAGGGGCGGCACCACCGACTCGACCAGCGCATCACACACTTGAATCGATTCGCCTTTGGGTCCCTGACGTAGTTTAGTGTCATATTTCAGGGAAACGCCTACTTGAATGACAAACTCGAGCACACATGCCGTGCCAAAGTGTAGAGTGACGCGCACTTCGCGATGTTGGAGCGCTTTGCCCGCCGCCACAGACACCGTCATGTCCCGTCGCTCCTGGTGCCGAAACCTCGCCGCCGCCGCCGTGGCCGTGGTCGTCGTGGGTTTGTTCAGCTCGTTATGCACATCCTGCAGGTATCCGTCATACTGCCCCAGTGATACCCCCTAGGTCGGTCCAGCATATTCACTCTGACATTCGTTTCCACATGCTTACAAGATGCGATTCAAATGCAAACCGGTGCACCAAATCCAGGCGTCGATGAGCCTAAGACATGTCAACACAGCCCAGTGATGAATCAATACAGTTCCAGTAGCTCTCGGATACCCTCAATAAATAATAATTAAAACTATATATATACATCGATTCGAATACTAGTATCATAGTACAGTAGCTCTCAGATACGCTGATAATTAATAATTAAAACTATATTAAACATCGATTAGTATAATACTACTATTTGGATAAATATATAGATACTGTATAAATAGAATGCGCTTCACACAAGCGAGCGTGGTGAGTCACTGACCAAGGTGTCTTGGGGTGGATTCAACAACCCCCACAGCAACGTCAAGTGATTTGCCATCACGTCCCGCACAATGCCCACACTAATAATACATGTTAATAATATATATATATATATTATATATATAAGAAATTAACGTACTTGTCGAAGAAGGCAGTTCGTTGCGCCACCGTCTCAGCTTCGTGCATAGCAATCTGGTTGTCCAGTATATCGTTTTGATCATGGACATGTTGTAGAGATTGCAATGCATGTAATAGTTGATTGAAGTGTTCTTACTTGGATGTGGGAGAGGTGGGGCCACCACTTGGCATACTCGACTTGGTTAAGAGTTAAGAATGAGCGAAGGCCGTGCACGCCTCGCTTGCCCATGTAATGATCGATCAAGAACAGCTCGTCGTCGGCGAAAATGCCGCGCAAGGACGTGGCCAACGCTTCTGCACTGAATATGTCGTGGCCAAACGGTTTCTCCACGACAATGCGAATCCAGCGCTTCGGGTGGCGCAAGTGCGCATGCACATGGTGGCAGATCTACAAGTGTAGCACATGATGGTTTGATTGCAACGAGGTACAACGAGCATGCACGCACTGCGTCAAAGAACTGCGGCGGCACCGCCAAGTACACGATGACGCCCGTGATGTCGTCGGTAGCCCAGCTGGGATCTGCCGCCAGAGTCTTGTAGTCCGCTCCGTCTCTTAATAGCGCATACCGAACGCCCAACCTGGACGCGGATGGAACAGACTTGAGCGTGGTTTCACCTGACGTGATGTCCGCGACCCCGCCCGCCCAGAACTGAAGCACCACGGGCGAAGATTCGCGTACTTGCTCAAAGGCAGGCCAGAGGTACTTGGTTGCTAGGTTGCCGGTACCCCCAACCACTAGGACTTGCACGTGCGCGTGTATCGCATAGCACAGCAGCGCTACCACAACGACGCGGAAAGGTGCCATGGGTTTGTGTTGACAGAGTTGATGCTTAGTATCCGTAGTATCCGGATATCATTTGAGGACGTGTATCCTGAAAAATGTTTCGCCGCGACGATGAAGTGAAAAAAGGCGGCGACGGGGCCAGGTCGAAGTCATCCGTGGTCGAGGAGGCGAGGAAGAAGCGAGAGGAACGAGAGAAGAAGCGGCACACGGAGCGACATGCAGTGGCGTTGCAGGCCATGGTTCGAGGGCATCACTCACGCATGTTCCTGCTGCGGCAATTGCGCGAGGACGTGGATCGAAAAGTGCGCGACATCGCCACTCTGCAACAAATGCTTCAGAAGGCATTTGTCGTACCTACTCCCGTCCTTCTATCGATAGTTCACGCTGCCCTGTTTGCAACCAAGTTGGGAGGATCGAGTAAAGCGACGCTGGACACGGAAGATGCATCCCGCCTTGCGCAGGTCATTGCATTGCTCCATTCCAACTGGACCCTCTCTGGCGACTCGTACCCCGCTGCGTTCGGGAGCATGTCCATTGCCACGTTGAAGCAAGTATTCGCATGTTGCTTTCAAATCGGTCCCACCCACGGCGCCGCGCTCGAGTTTGTCGCATCCCTCGTCGGGTGTGCTTCCAAGGAGGAGGTAGGTACCATTGCACTATCCGCAACCTTCCGCAAAGGAACTAATCTATCAAAAGTCCTATTTCATTGTCCATGTTGTATTCACATATCACACTTCCATGCATGTAGACGCCGTCCCCATCATCGTCGGCAGAGATTTCAATCCAACATGTCGCGATGATGAAGATTTTAATCCACGAGACATTTACCCCTGTTCATCGACCGTGGTGGACGCAGCCCCTTGGTCAGTCGGTACGATTCTATTATTCACTATATATTTATATATTTCAAATATATATATTTTTATACCACACATATTAACTGGCATTCTCGTTATGACTTAGTTTACCATGCACATGCGTGGTGTGCTGACGAGTAATAACTCGCCCGCCGAGAACACCATCTCGTGGTGGCGCCTTCTGTTCCACCTCCTGGAGCATGCAACATCCAACGAGGACAAGCCTCCCATCATGACTGCCCTCCTTCACCACGTATACAAGCTCATCTAGAAACTTCAGTCTCACCATGTTATAGATCCTCACAGTACCCGCCCTTGTGTTGCCGTCACCTTGGTCGGAGCAGCTACATCGATTCTGGCCAGAGATACTCACCACACCATTGGACCTACTGGCCAACTGTCCACCGTCTCCCATCGCTGGCATCCCACCCGCAGTGTTCTTGCTCGCCAATGGCCTCACGCTGCGCCCTCCGTACGTCCTGATCTTCCTCTTTTTGGCTTTGAAAACGTAGTTTCACATGTGACAAGGTCCACGTCGCCCTGTCACATGTTGCAGCACGACCTGGCGTGGTATAGGCACCTGCTGGCGGTCCTGCCGGCCGAGTCGTACAGCGCAGAACCATTGGCGTGGCTCCACGTGTCGGCTTCACACTCTGTCCCTGTCGTGTACCCATCGGCGGTGGTGGCGCAATTAAGAACCATGTACGCCCAGGTATGTGCGTCCTACAAAGGGGGACGATCTCGAAAGTCCCTCTGTTTAACGACATGCCTAGATGCGGCCATGGTGTGGTGTGTGCTTTGCCGTGACAGTTCCAGGGCTGCGGAAGCCGCTGTCCACCGCCCCCCCCGCTCCCATGTTTCCTCAGGCGGCCACGACCGAAGTAAACCACCCTCTTGTCGTGATATACTAGTCCTGTATCTAAATCTGAATTGTGTGGACCTTGATCGTGGATGAGCATAGGACCAGTTTGGGTTTGGGTACATTGCCCAGCAAGGGTCATTTTCCATCTTGCGGCGGCTGTGGGCAAAGAGCACGTCCTCCAAGTGGATGCAGCGCCTGGCGAATCCGTTCAAGTCGTCCTCGTCCCACCGCCACCCGACGCCGCCGCCGCACCATCAAGCCCCTCCGCACTCCCAGCAGGTCTGTGCGCCGCCGCCCTTTGACGCCGCCGCGTTCGTCTCGCTCGTCCAGTTGGTCGCGCTGTTTCTGTTCCGATGGAACCCCTCGGACAAGAAGAACACGCCCGACTTGCTCAGCTTCCTCACGTTTTACAAAATCGACGGGTTGTCTCTCGTCCACACGCTGTGGCTGTTCTTCCAGGAAACGTACGACGTCGACGCGATTGCGCAGGTACGTCCAAAATTTATATATATATAGGGCTCTCCTGTTTCTACTATATCGTCTCGTCCTAGTCTTTATCGTATATATATATATATATATATATATATATTGGTGTATTCATGTATCATTAATCCTCGTCTGAAGTATATATATGCTTTAGACGAGGATTAGGATATATATATAAATACTTCAGACGAGGATCAGGATATATATATACTTCAGACTAGGATTGGGATACATGAATTTACCAATATATATATATATATGGGTGTATTAGTGTATTAATATACATGTACGTACCGTGTAGTCGTTGGCGTTGGGACAGGCGACTCCGGAAGACCCCGTCGCATGCGTTTTGGTCGTGTTTGCAGTCACGTACCACAATCTGCTGATCGTTCTCGACGATCACGAGGTATGTCGTGTCGAATATGTATTATCTTTTAATAAAAACATAGTCCTGCATTATGATATATTTTTATATATCATACATACAACTAGATGCACGACACTGGGTTTCCCGTGCCGCTGGGCCAAGTCGAACGCGTGATTGTCTTGTTCAAGGGTGTGCTGTACCGTCATTACTGGCTTGCAAAGGACCGCCACAACCATCCGTTTGGCGAGTACGCCGTCGAAAGTGCCACGCGACTGCTGCAGTCCCTGTACAACCGCTGCGCGCGCCGCCCATTTTGCAACGTCACGAGTTGGTTCGTAGGAGTTGGTGATCGAGAGGACTAGTAGTACTAGTAGTAGTACTAGTTATATTGACTCTGTGTGGTTTGAATAGGGTTGTGGGTGACTTGGACGGCGACGACGTGGTCGAACGTGTGTTGCACGACGACCAGAAAGCGGTCGCGCTGCTGCAGCACATGCCGTACCTGCTGCCATATGCAGACCGCGTACGGTTGTTTCAAGCGTTGGTCAAACTCGACCGAGACCGGTACTTCTTGTCTTCTAAATATAAATATATATATATATATATCGGACTCGTAGAGGTTGACAATGAACCCATATATGTATATGTATTTATTCAAATATATTTATGCGATTCTGTAGATACCAAGAGAATGCGCCGCCGTGCCGCATGACCATTCGACGAGGGTACGTGTTGGAAGACGGGCTCACGAAACTCAACGCTCTCCGACGCGACCTCAAGAAGAAAGTGCAGGTCCATCGATATTATATATATATATATCCCTCTCGAATACGCATCCTACTTCGAAGTATTATTTATCCTGCTTTTCGATATTTTTGACGTATTTATTTCCTATTTTTCCTTGTTTATTTAATATGTAATATTTTTCTTTGAATACATAGATAAATATATATGTATATATAGGTGCATTTTATCAACGAAGCGGGGACCGAAGAAGTCGGGATCGATGCCGGGGGACTATTCAAAGAGTTTTGGACCGAGTTGAGTCAGTTGGCGTTCGACCCGCATTATGGTATATATATATATATATATATACATCAATGGCTTTTAAATGAAATATATGTTTTATTTCTTGTAGGGCTGTTTCAGTGTTCAGACGTGGACCATTTGCTGTTTCCAAACCCCTCGTCGTCGTTGATCCACTCGAATGACGTGCTCTTGTTCGAGTTCCTGGGACGTATCCTGGGCAAAGCGTTGTTCGAGAACATCGTCGTGCAGCCCAAGTTCTCCCGCTTCTTTCTCACCAAGTTGCTCGGCAATCACAACCACATCCACGACTTGCCATCCCTGGACCCGCAACTGTACAAGGTACGTACATTTGCATTGTCGCAAATTATAACTATTATAAATATATATATATGTATACTATTATATATATATATTAGTATAAATATATATATATTTATAATAGTTATAATTTATATCTTTATACTATTATATATATATATTTATAATCGTTATAGCATTTACACTCTCACAAGTTATAATTTTTTATAACTATTATATATATACTATTATATAATTATAATATTTATAACAATGTTACAAAACTATAACTATTATAAATATATAATAAACATTACTCAGTTATACTTTGTGACAGTGCAATTGTAACACGACTCCCCAAATGTTGTGATTCATATCGCGACCCCATTTGTGATGTAGAATCTCATGTTCCTCAAAACGTACGACGGCGACGTGTCTGACCTCGGCCTCACGTTTTCCATCGGCCAAGACTGCTTTGGAGTGCACGTAAGACTGTAGTACGAGTATCTACTAGTAGTATGTACTAATAGTACTATGTGTGGTAGTATGTGGGCTGCTTTAATAGGAGTAGTTCACATGCCCGATGGATTTCATGAGCTGGTTATTTTTCCGAGTAGAAAGAAGTCGAGTTGGTGCCGGGGGGAAGCAGCGTGGGTGTGACTGGTGACAACCGATACCGATACATCCACTTAGCGGCTCATTACTACTTGAACGGCCAAATCGCCCGCCAAAGCGCGGCGTTCGTCGCGGGGCTGCGGGATGTCGTGGACGTCAAGATGCTGCACATGTTCAACGAGCCAGAGCTGCAAGTGCTCATCTCTGGCACGACCAGTGCCTTTGACATGGAGGTTCGTCTGTCATGTCCATCTTGAATCAACGTGGAACGCGCCCCTGTATCCCATGTAGGACTTGAAATCAGCGACGAGGTATGCGGGGGGGTACTTTTCACAAGACAAGCGCATAGGTTGGCTGTGGAAGGTACGAACGGCGCGGTGATGTTTGAGTCTAATGATATTATTGTAGGCCCTGGAGAGCTTCTCGCCGAGTGAGCGGGGGCTGTTCTTACGCTTCGTCACGTCATGTCAACGCGCGCCGGTCCTGGGGTTCCACTCGTTGCACCCGCCATTTTGTGTGCAGAAGATCTCGATTCGAAGCGATGACGTCAAGCTCCCGTCTGCTGCCACGTGCTTCAACACGCTCAAGCTGCCCACGTACTCGAGCTACAAAGTGCTTCGAGAGAAGCTGCTAACGGCGATCACGTCGGGCGCCGGGTTTGAGATGACATAGGAGGATTACACTTGCCACAGCTATTGTCGTGCTTGTCAATATATAATTGTTGCATACTAGTAAGAAATATGAAGTATTGATTGCCGTTGTTGCTGACACATACACGGAGAGATAAGGCAGAGGACGAAAGAAGGAAAGGTCTGTACATCATGTCTGTCCATATCGACATAAGCCCAAGGAAGTGTTGTGAATTCGCTATACACTTCCAAAATTCGCGTGGTTGGTCTTGTCAATGTGAAATTATTCAGAATTGACAGAATTACACGGCTACTAGTACAGTGCGCGCCACTTGGATAGGACACCCCCGTATTTGATGGTGTGCTTGGATAACTTGTACGTAAACTGACACGAAATATACCAAACCATCCGCCGTGATTGGCCCGATCGTTTGGCGCTAGTTTTAGGTCAAAATAATCGATATTGAATGAGTTATGCCGCGAAAACCGAATACGGGGTGCGACAACCGGATAGGACACTTCAGGAAAATCGTCACTTTTGGAAGTTTCATTGACCTCTTGCACCTTCCGGTAGTGGACAATCAACTAGTTGACACATACTACGTTAGGCTAAGCTACACGCAACGTCCGACGTGCAGTAGGGATGGGCAGAGCTCACTGAGCATAAGCAAGGCAGCGCGTTAGCGTTCCAGCAAGCTGGATGGTCCGTCAAGAGAACCGCTGCGACTCTCGGACGCTCTCGCAACGTAATTGCATCCTTTTTGCAGTCGCCTGACAACTACGGCAAGAAATACAAGGGTCGACAGTCAAGTAAAGTCACTGATCGTGCCCGACGACAAATCATCAAACACGCGTCCACTACTGGATGCTCACTCGTCAGCTGCAATTACACCTACCGATGGACGCGTTGCTGACAACGTATCAACGGATCCTCCACCGAGCGGAGTTTCTCCAATATACTAAGCGCCAGCACACCCCAAAGCTCCAACAACACCACAAAAATGACCGCCTAAGCTATGCCACGACCAACTTGACGAAGCCAACCGCGTGGGAGGATGTGGTTTGGTCGGACGAAAAAAAGTTCAATCTCGACGGCCCCGATGGGTTCCAGTACTACTGGCACGACCTGCGACAAGAAAAGGATCAGTTTTTTACCCGCCACAGCAGCGGTGGAAGTTGCATGATTTGGGGTGGATTTTCGAGCATGGGAAAGGCCGAATTGGCGCTTCTGGAAGGCGTGCAGACAGCTGACAAGTACATTGACACACTCTCGGACTACCTCCTTCCATTCGGCCATGAAATGTATGGAGGGCGCTTTGTATTCATGCAAGACAATGCCAGTATCCATCGTGCCACGGTGGTGACCGAATTTTTGGACGAGCAAGACATCATGGTTTTGACCACCCAGCTCTGTCGCCAGATCTCAACCCCATTGAGAATGTTTGGGGGGTCCTTGCCCCCGAAGTTTACCTCAATGGTAAGCAATTTGGATCGGTTGCCGAGCTCAAAGCTGCCATCAAACGTGAGTGGGCGAAAATTTCACAAGACTACCTGCTGAAGTTGATAAAGTCAATGCCAAAGCGGTGCGTGCATGTTATCCAAGCCAAAGGAGGCAAAACAAAGTATTGAGGATGACATTTTGTGCTGTTAATGTATGATTTTGTGAAGTTTTCCCTAAGTGTCCTATCCGGTTGTCGCACCCCGTATTCGGTTTTCGGGGCATAACTCATTCAATATCGATTATTTTGACCTAAAACTAGCGCCAAACGATCGGGCCAATCACGGCGGATGGTTTGGTATATTTCGTGTCAGTTTACGTACAAGTTATCCAAGCACACCATCAAAATACGGGGGTGTCCTATCCAAGTGGCGCGCACTGTATTATTTAACCTGCTAGGATGGACGGATGAACAAAACCTCCAAATTTCAGCCAAAATGGACAAAAAATGACGAAAAAGTCTTAACATGCAGTAGATTGGTCAATGATATTCCTTATGGGGAGCCGGCTGGTCGAGTTGAACGACTTGCACGCATGGTCTTCGCTTGAATGGTGGACATTTTTGGCCAACTCCATTTTACTTTTCGCTCTACGATGGTCAAAGTCCTCATCTCCCTCATCTCGTTGGCCGCTACGGCTGGCTACGAAACTCCCCGAGTCTGTGACCAAGCTCATCGATTCCTCCGCAAACCCCTACCAATACGCGTGTGGCGCGTGGTACAAGGATGCTATGACCCTCCCGGACGAACACATAATACCGATCCGATCACCATGCTCTCCATCCAAATCCAAGCCCTGTTGACCAAGATTTTGTCTGACAACAAACCCAAGCTTGGCGAGTTTACAACTCCTGTTTGGACACTGCTACGCTCTCGTCGCTCGGCCTAACTCCGTTGGCCGACTCGTTAAAAGCCACTCGGTCGGCCAACACCACGTTGGACCTCCTCGTCGTGGCTGGTGAATTGGCCAAGAGCTGCATCCCTGCCTTCGTGGACATCAACGCCAGGTCTGATGAGGCCAACGAATCCAAGAACACCCTCTTCAGTCTTCAAGCCCCCCCTGCCAGTGTTTCGTGCGTACTACTCGATCCCTTCCTTATGGGATGATATCGAAGCCGCCTACAAGGTGTACATTGCGTCAGTCCTGCAGTTGGCTGGCTACACAAGCGGCGGCTGCTGTGCTGGTGATCATCCGTTTCGAGCAAACTCTGGCGGGTGTCGCCCTCAACAAGCTCGAGGAGATGGAGGCCGTTGTGTTTACGTACACTGCGTTTACGTACTACGAACTGGACCAGAAGTACCCGCTGCTCATCGATACGTGGCTCAAGGCCAACGGCTTCAACGTGCACAAACAATGCAGCACCGACTGGGTGGGGCTTTAAAGCTTGAGGTCCTTGGACAATACCGAAGCGTTGTTGAAGAACACGACGCTGGACGATCTCCGCACCATCGTAGAGTACAAGCTCATCCACGCCTCGTCCAACCACTTGACTCCTGAATTCCGCACGGCCAACTGGAACTTCTTCGGCAAGATCATCGATGGCGAAAAGGTGAAACCAACTCGTGAACAATTCTGCATCGCCGAAGTGGATAAAACCGTTGGTGAACTCCTGGGTCAGTACTACTTAGACGAGGTGTGGTCGGCTGAAACGGCCAAGGCGGTCGATGAACTGGTCAAGGCCTTGGAGTCGTCCACCTCCACTGGTATTGCCACCACCGACTGGTTGGACGACTCGACCCGCGCAAACGAAGCTGTCCAAGTTTGTGTACTTGTTGGGTGGTCCGGAGAATCCGCAGCTGTACCCGACGTTGACGTTGGACTCGAAGTCGTATTTTAACAACCTCTGGAAGGTGTCTCAAGTGAACATTGACACTAACTTGAAGTTGGCCGGCCAACCTGTGGACAAGCGCAAATTCGACGTTCCCCCTCAGACAGTGAACGCGAACTACACCCCCCCAGCCTAAACCAAATTTTGCTCCCAGCCGGAATTTTGCAAAGCCCGTACTTTGACGTCCAGTTCGACGCGGCCCAGAACTTTGGTGCCACCGGGGTGCACATCGGACACGAAATTACCCACGGGTTCGACAACATAGGCCGCAATTACGATGGTGACGGCAAGTTGAACCCGCGGTGGTCGAATGCCACCGACACTACTACGTTCAAGCAGAAGGCCCAGTGCTTTAGCGACCAGAACGACAAGTTTGTCGTCAAGAGCGAAGTGACTGGCGATGTGTGGGGCAACGTCAACGGCGAGCTCTCATTGGTTGAAACCATTGCCGACAACGGGGGGCTCAAGACCAGTTTTCGCGAGTACTTGAAGAAGTTCCCGTCGCAGTACACAGAAAACGCTGGTGACAAGTTGTTCTACTTGTTGTTTGCCCAAGCCAGGTGCTCCAAGAACACGGACGCCCGCCTCAATACGCATTTGACAGACCCTCACCCGCCTGATCGGTTCCGCGTGACGGGGGGTTGCAAAACGACGCTGAGTTTGCCCGTGTGTTCAAATGCCCCACCGACTCGTACTTGAACCCGTCCAACAAGTGCTTGTTGTGGGAATAGGGTTGATGGATGGATACGAAAATATTTAACGTTGTGCATTCGTAAGGAAAAACGAAGAATCAATGTCTTGGATGAAGCGTGTTGCTTTCCGTGTGCGACGCACACAAAAACTGTGTACAATGTACAGTATACCGTCCGTTTGGGCTATCCGGAAGTTAGCTTTTTAACCCCTTGTCGGATTCTGCTTTTGAGGATGCCACGAAAAATGGCATAAAATGGCTGTTTTAAGTTGCCAAAATCAAAATATTCCATTTTTTTTCCTATTTCGATTTTGGCAACTTATATTCCATTTACCTATTGCTAAAGCATAGGTTAAAGTCAAACTTCGTTTTTACGGTTGCTATTTTGGCACTATCCGGACTTTTTAGAAATTTCGACTCGCAGAATTTCTATTTTCGCGTGAAATAGCAACAAACCCTCCGGATAGTGCAAGAATTTCTATTCTATATCCGTAACTTCGAATTGAAATAGAAATAAAAACACCGTTGGAGATGCTCTTAAGTTGCCAAAATCGAAATATTCCATTTTTCGAAATTTTGTACGTCTGGATGCCACCAAAGTTCAAAGATTTACGCGACAACTTTGTTGAAAATCGGGTGTTTCATGGCATAAAAGAAATGGACCGATTTGGTCCAACTTTTTTATGGAGGTTTGTGTTCACGTTGAAGTGTTGCACTTCAATCGGAAATCGAATATTTTTTCCAATATTTAGCTGGTATCCAAACAACTTTGTAAATACTTCTTTTCTCTTTTTTTTCATGGGATATGAGACTTTGGGAAATTTTTACAGACTTGCCAAAACGGTTTATGGCATAATTTTATGGGGTGGCATCCAGACCAGCCCTAATCTCTTCGTATTGAATTGAATACCTTGTATCGTGGGGTTGTTATTGGATTTATGGTATTAATAGTACTACTTTTTTGCGGATGAAATATTTTTTATTGCGCATGTGCATGTTTTTTTGTACTCGGTCCCAGCTCCACTATTGTTTACGTAACGTTACCGGTAACTAGTTTGTCCTTTTACTTGTTCTACTCGGAGTAATTACGTCAAAGTACTACTCCGGAGTACCGGGTACTATTAATACCGGTACAGTGATCCCTCAACGTTTGCTCCCTGGTATAAATTTATACTCCGTTAAATTTTATTCGATATTAATTTACTAAGGGCTTTATGACATGCATGCATCGTTTGAAAATTCAAAATTGAGGAGCCAAACACCTCATATTGACAACTACACACACAAAGACATTTGAGAGCCAATGGATGCCGGTATCATCGCTGCGTTCAAGAGCCACTACAAGCGTCGTCAAATGGATCATGTTGTAGACATGATTGATGATCCTACCGTCGAGTCCGGTCGCGAACCAAGAAACTTGTACGCCGTGAGCACGTCCACGGCGTACAAGTTTCTTGGTTCCCTTGGACCATTCACTTCAGCTTTTGCTTACTATTAATTGACCAGCAGATAGTCACCCTTCAAAGTTAATGTTCGTGGTTTCTTTGTACAATAGGCTGACTTGGAAAATTTATATTTGGAAAAGCGAGCTAACGTTGAGGGATCACTGTAGTACAGTTAGTGCATCTCCAACGGGTGTCCCTACTACAGTATATATCGATGCCCTATCCCCAAAACCTGTTACAATAGTGGTACCATCGAAGTTACGGATAATTTGGGGTTGTATCCGGGTGTTCTTATCCCCATTCGCTTCGTATGCAGCCCTTGTTATCCGGATTCCTCAGGCCGGGGATCGAACCGACGACCTTTGAGTTAACTGTAAGAAAACGATGCTCTAACCCTGAGCTATTTTCTCTCCACTTACGTGTACTAGTAGTACAGTGAATGGGGAAATTTTAGCCACACCTCGAATCGAAGTAAATCAAATTATTTGAGTACTTAAGTATGATTGGAGGACGAAGAAGTTCGATGAATATTGTGACCAATGATTGATTTGACCAGTGAATTTTGTTTATGTGTGTTTGGGATGGTGATTGGCTTCAACATCTGATGAGTAATGGGTAACTTTGGTGTGGCTTCGTCTTACAGTGAAACAACACATTCTAGCTAGTACCATACTGGTAGGTTGACAACTGTAAGGACATTTGACAGTTAATGTCCAATAGGCCTTCCAAAACCTACACAATGGATATAGTATCCCACACTGTTGATGGATGGATTGGGTCTGAATGTGTGGACAGGATCACAGGGATACCTAGTACTTCGAAGTAGTTTCGAAAGTCGACTGACTGGAGATATTAAAGCTAATGGCAGCGAGTTGCGTGGGGCCGGGTAACACATCATCAAGCAGGCAGAACCACCGTCCAGTTTCTGTGTTTCTGTGTACGACGCAACTACCAGTAACGTTTAACGTTACCGGTAACATTATGAATGGACTCCGAAGCACCTGTTTCACACACTTTTAGTGTGACAAGTATATTGTGTTGCACCCATCCATGGTGGCGCAGTAGACGTTCCCATTTACTTTTCAAAACGCACTGGAACGCACACACCATGCTTGTGCATCGGATCTTGGTCGCGGCGGCTGGACTCTTGGCCGCATGTCACTTCGTCCCCCAGGCGACTGCCCAAGTCTTCAACATGCGTCGCCACGAGCGCATTGTGATTGTCGGAGGGGGGCCTGCAGGGGTCCACTACGCCACTCTCTTGGCCAAGAAAGGGTTCACGAACATCACGATCCTGGAAGCGACCAACGAAGTGGGCGGCAAGTCCAAGACTGTCGTCGATCCGCTCGGCATCCCCCACGAACTGGGCACTTGCTACGCCACAGCGTTGTACCAGCCAGTGTTTGACTTGCTCAAGGAGTACGACCCCACCAACACCCTCGTGCCATTTGTGCCGACTATAAAAGGTCACACGTATGTCAACCGAGACGCCATGCCCATTATGGACTACAATGCGTATGTGGTGCAGGTCGTCCGCCAACATCTGGGACCGGTGCAAATGCACACGCTACTCCGTGGAATGGAGAGTGCATTCGCCAGCTACATCAGCATCCACACGTCGATCTTTGGCGTGTATGACTACGGGTTGCCGCCGCAACCGTCGAATTGGTCACGCATCGACATGTCGGGGCTGGAATTCCTCCGACAAAACAAGCTCCTCGCGCTCGAAGCGTTCTTCCGGTTTGCGTTTCAACAGCAAGGATACGGAACGTTGGACACTGCGCCAGCGTTTTACATGCTGTGGTGGATTCATCCGGACGTGATTCGCAAGCGCCAAGAAGCCGACGCCAAGCGCCAGCCGTTTGCGTTCATCTTGTCCAAGGGCTTTCAGTCGCTGTGGAAGGCCATGGTGGCCAAATATGAAGGTCAAATTGACGTCCAACTTGACACCAAGGTGGTTCAAATCTCCCGGACACTTTCGCCCATTTACATTACGGTCAGCCGCCGCAACGTGCTCGACGTCGTGTATGCCGACCACCTCGTTATGGCGACAGACTTGAGCTACTTAGTGACGTTGCCGTCCGACTTGGTAGCCAATCAGCTCAGCTTCACCAAAGGCCTGACGTCGTCGGCGTTCGTCGTGTCGTTGTTTCAATCGGACGCACGCAAGGACGAAAGCGTGTCCCAGTGGTGGCCCAACCGTGGCGTGGGCGAGACGGAAGGCCGGCTGCAACTCACACGCAACTCGCGGCTGTCCCTATACAACCCGTTGCCACCCCATGGGTCCCAATCCGACCCCGCTCCCACCAACTGGGGGGTTAATGCCACTGGTCGGCAAACTCGAGTAGCGTACCAATTCTACGACCGACGGGTCCCCGTCTCGGCTACGGCGACCAAAACGCAGTTGCTTGCAGACCTCGAGAGCGCGTCGTTTACCAATGCGGTCGTCCAAAAGCAAATCATCCACAGCTACTTCCCAAGGTACAACCTCACGCAGCTGCAGCAAGGCTTGCCGTGGACGGTGTGGGATAGCCAAGGGTCCAAGAGAACGACGTGGATTGGGTCGTCTGTGAGCTTTGAAAGCGTGCTGGACGTGGTTGTGTACAACAACAAACTCATCGATCGCGTCAACATGACGACGTGATAAGCCGTGGATAGATTGACCAAAACACGTCACAGGATATCGCCATCGACGCACGTTGTGTCTATTATACTATTAATATTAATAGTATTAATAGTAGTTCAATTACTAAGAGCATCTCCACCGCGGCCAGTATATCAGCAAATCAGTATATCTGTGTGCCAATTTACTGAAATATTTTGGCACCGCCACTGAAATAGTGTACTACAGGGAATGACGTATTAAGCGCCCCCGTGGTACTTCGAATTGGCATTTCAATTGTTTTTTTTTAATTGAGTTTGGATTATCATTTTTAAGACATTCCTCGCGAGGGCCGACACTAGAACCACATGTTATGGAACCGGTTCGCCAATTGTAACGCGCCTGCTCGACCAGGGGCGGTGTGTAATCTTCGGTTTTTACTACGCTCAACGCTTCATACCTCGTGCTTCGACCGATCTTCTTCGAAGTTCGGTCCTCGTCTTTGTACGCAGCCCTTGTTCTCCGGATTCCCCAGGGGAGGGACGGATAAATCCTTGCGGAAATAATCCGGGGAATCCGGGGATCGAACCCACGACCTTTGAGTTAAGAAACCGATGCTCTACCACCTGAGCTATTCCCCCTGGCATTTCAATTGTGTATTGGGACAAACTACTTCGAAATTTCAATACTTTAATCAATACGAAATTTTAGTACCACGGGGGCGTTTAATACGTCATTCCCTGTAATCTGATAATATTCCAGTAAGGTAGTAGAGAGTTTTAGCAAGTCCGAAATTTCACCAGTTCACAGACTTGGTGCTGCCTTCGATTTTGTTGAAGTCTGAATTGCGAAGTCAGATGAATTCCAGTTTAGCAAGTCTGTAATATGCTTGATAACCATGTTGCATTCCATGCCATTCTTGAAAATGCAACCTCAGCAACGCCGATTCATCCACCGTTCC